TGATTGGTGGTCGTTTTGATTTCTTTATATTAAGCGTTACTGTTATGAAATCGTGAACGACAACATGGCATAAGATGACGTTTGTATGGAGAATGATGTCAGTTCTGTTATTATTACATCAATTAATGACGAAGTGTTTTCTGTGACCGGCGTAGGGTTATTGACCACTTGCCCTATTTTTTAAAAAATTATCTTCAATAACTTTGCACTGTTTTTTTTTTTTTTTAAATCGTCATTTAGATCACCCATGATGGGAAGCGGTTTCTTTTCAAGTGACATTTCTGTAAAACCTTTTTCTAGATAATCAAAATATTCACGAGGATGCTTATAGGAAATTCAAGAAATGAAAGACGGAAACATTTTGCTTTGTGCGTTAACCCAGATACATCTGCACTCTTTGCAGTTGTAGCATTTGTTTTGAGAGTATCTCATACGTATATGCACACTCCTTCCCCACGTCCTGCATCACGTCTATAAACATTGAAATCTGGAATATTGATCAAAGCATTTCACATACCTTAGTGAAACCACGTTCACTTATATATCATATATCAAGATTTCTCTCCATTATGAGCATTTAATGATCATCAAAATGTCCAAGGAGAGACTGCATTTATGATCTATTCTGACCGTCTTGCTGACGGCAGTGCCTTGTCAGAGTGCTTTGTCAAGCATTCTGATCACGACTGTACTTGGTTCTCTTTAGACACACTTTGACATTTCTTGGGAAGGCATGTGAGTCTAAAAATAGTACTACTACTACTACTGCTAATGATACTTTGATGATAATAATAATGATATTAATGGAAAAATAATGATAATAGTAATAACAATTAAAATGATTGATAATAGTAATAATGATAATAACAGCAATAATAAAAAATAATAACAACAATAATAATAATGATAATAATAATAATAACAAAAATTATAATAATAATAGTAATGATAATAATAATAGTAATGATTATAATGATAATGATAACAATAATAATGATAATAATAATAATAACAATAATAATAGTAATAATAATAATAATAATAATAGTAATAATAAGAAAAATGATGATAATAATAATAGTAATAATAATAATAATGATAACAACAACAATAATATCAATAACAATGATAATAACAACAACAATAATATTAATAACAAGGATAATAATAATAATAATAATAATAATAATAATAATAATAATAATAATAATAATAATGATAATAAATATAATAATAATGATAATAATAATGATAATGTTAATAATGATTTAGCTCGGCCACACTTGTTGGTCTCACCACCATAGAATCATTTCATTCTCACACGAATTTTCTTGTCACATAAAACTCCTGACACATTCTTGCAGTTTCTCCAGCCTGATTGTATCCTAATAGTTATTTTTTTTTGCCCAGTGCCCAGTGTCCTTTTCAAATTTCCGCCCAACAGCCGGACATCCTCACCGCATCTTCCGCATTTAGAGCCATATGCTTCCGTTTTTTCAGACTAATTTTAAGTCTCCTCCATCTCCCTTCCTGGTGGTATATAGCAGTATCTTATTGGCTGTATATCCCATGGCACTGGATGTACTTGAGTACATCCATTATCAAATCAGATATGCATGGTCTCAAAGCCGAACCCTGGTGGAGCCTAACCTTAATACTGGACGTTTCTGTTCTTGCACCCTCATGCATATCTATTACCGGTCTTACATACTTTTCTGATACTTCTTTTTCTCTCATACACTTTCACATTTCTTCCCGCGGCACTCTATCATATGTTTTAACTGAACCTATAAATACGAGATGTAGCTCTCTCTGTATTTCCTCATAGGTCTCTGTCGTTTGCCTTAAAGTAAAGATTGCATTTTTTGTTCCCCTGCCCGGAATAACTCCAAATTGTTGTTCACCAATCACCGTTTCACATATTAGCCTATTTTCAATTATTCTTTCCAAATCTTAATTGCATGTGACATTGATTTAATTCAGTCTTGGATATCACCTTTGTCTTTGTATATTGGATAACCACACACGCATCTGGCATTTTTTCTTGATAATAAATCTTCATTAGCTCCCATACTGCATTCACTAATAATAATAATAATGAAAATAATAACAACAACTACAATAATTAAAGTGTTAATGATACAACAACAACAACAACAACTGCTACTACTACTAATGATAATAATAATTATAATAATAATAAAATGATAATAAAGATTACAATAATAATAATGATTATGATGGTGATGATAATATTGATGATAATGATAAAAATGAAGATAATAACAATAATAATGATAATGATAAAAATGAAGATATTAACAATAATAATGAAAATGAAAATATATAATTATGATATTGATAATAATGATTACTAATACTAATGACACTAATGGTAATGATAATAATAATATCAATAGTGATGATGGTAATGATGATGATGATGATGATGATGATGATGATGATGATGATGATGATGATGATGATGATGATGATGATGATGATGATAACAATAACAATGATAATGATAATGATAACATTAATGACAATAAAGATACTACCCAATTCTAATAATGATAATGGTAATAATGATGATGATGATAATGATAATAATAGTAATAATAACGATAATAATGATACTACTAATAATAATATTAATAATAATAATAATAATGATAATAATAA